GAACAGCTGTGTAGGAGGCTTAAAACTGGGTGAGGAACAGCCAAACTCTGCTACTAAGGTGAGGCTGTGGAAGACAGTTGCATGTCACAGGTCATACACCATGGCAAGACTGAGCACACAACAAGACACAAGGTAGTTATGCTGCATCAGCAAGGTCCCTCCCAGGCAAACATTTCAAAGCAGACTGGGGTTTCAAGATGTGCTGTTCAAGCTCTTTTGAAGAAGCACAAAGAAACAGGCAATGCTGAGGACCGTAGATGTAGTGGTTGGCCAAGGAAACTTAATGTAGCAGATGGAAGACACATCATGTTTGCTTCCCTTTGATATCAGAAGATGTCCAGCAGTGCCATCAGCACAGAACTGGCAGAAACCAGTGGAACCCAGGTACACCCATCTACTGTCCGGAGACGTCTGGCCAGAAGTGCTCTTCATAGAAGAATTGAGGCCAAAAAGCCATACCTCTGACATGGAAACAAGGCTAAGCGACTCGACTCTGCATGAAAACATAGGGACTGGGGTGCAGAAAAATGGCAGCAGGTGCTCTGGACTGATGAGTCAACATCTGAAATATTTGGCTGTAGCAGGAGGCAGTTTGTTCACTGAAGGGCTGGAGAGTGGTACAATAAAGAGTGTCTGCTGGCAACAGTGAAGCATGGTGGAGGTTCCTTGCAAGTCTGGGGCTGCATTTCTGCAAATGGATTTGGAGATTTGGTCAGGATCAATGGTGTCCTCAATGCTGAGAAATTCAGGTAGATACTTATCCATCATGCCATACCATCAGGGAGGTGTGTGATTGGCCCCAATTTTATTCCGCAGCAGGACAACGACCCCAAACATACAGCCAATGCCATTAAGAACTACTTTCAGCATAAAGAGCAAGGAGTCCTGGAAGTGATGGTTTGGCCCCCAAAGAGCCCTGATCTCAACATCATCGAGTCTGTCTGGGATTACATGAAGAAACAGAAGGATCTGAGGCAGCCTACGTCCACAGGAGATCTGTGGTTAGTTCTCCAAGATGCTTGGAACAACCTACCTGCCGAGTTCCTTCAAAAACTGTCTGCAAGCGTACCTAGAAGAATTGATGCTGTTTTGAAGGCAAAGGGTGGTCACACCAAATATTGATTTGATTTGGATTTTTCTTTTGTTCACTCACTTTGCATTTTGTAAATTGATAAACAAACAATTACAATATATATTTTTGAAAGCATTCGAATTGATGCTGTTTTGAAGGCAAAGGGTGGTCACACCAAATATTGATTTGATTTGGATTTTTCTTTTGTTCACTCACTTTGCATTTTGTAAATTGATAAACAAACAATTACAATATATATTTTTGAAAGCATTCTTACTTTACAGCATTTTTTCACACCTGCCTAAAACCTTTGCACAGTACTGTATGTTTGGTGCTGCTAGAGATGGTCATACATGAAGTGAAAATTTACACGTTACCCTTCATCTAGCCAAATTTCAAGAGATGCAAGCCAGGCTGTCCATTTTTCCAGGATCCAAATAGATGCCCTGTTATTAATTTACTGACGTTCACCAAAAGAATGGGCTTGTATAGTGTGACTGTAACAAAACTAAGAGAAATATTGAAACCAGAGATGAGCTAGGAGAGCTGGAATGTAGAATCGTGTCATTTTTCCTCTCACTGCCTGCATCCCATGTCATCTGTCCATCATCAGTTTTATAATGAATTCATTTCCCTTGTGAGATTTCATGTCTATTCTGATCTAAGTAGCCTTTTATTGTTTTGAAAGACATTATCACTCCCCTTACTCCACTGCCAAGAATAAGCTGCTGGGAGCCAAGAAGATGGGGAAGAGAAAAAAAATCCAGTCAGGCTAGGAAGCCAAGATGTTGGTAATGAAGAGCCAAAGATCTCAGCAGTCAGTCCATTCTGGCAGAAGGCAGGGGACCAAACAGGCAAGTGGAAAGCTTACTGCCTGGCCGAATCTCCCTCAATTTTTTCATAAAAAACCCTTATGGGCAAAAAGGGAGGATATAAATCCCAAGGCCCAAGATACACATTTTTGCCACACAAAATGTCTAATCTCGTTTTGTGACTCCAAAGTACTATTACAATCAGCACTTTCTTTTCTGATCCTTTATTGTTATATAATTTTCATGGACTGAAACTGATAATTTGCCTGGATTAAAATAAGGTTCTCTACTCTTTTATTGCTACTTTCTAATTTTGGTATATTTCTAAACACAGACCAATTCTTTCATATGTTAACCATTGTATTTATCAATTAAAATAAAACTTGCCTTCAATTCTAAAGAAAAACACAGAAAAAAACCCAATTCTAATTTTCCCATTTTTCTTCCCAAGTCCTTTAGATATCTTTTGCAATCACTATTATACTGTGAATCAATAATATAAAAACAGTTTTCTAAGTAAACAACAGAAAACCCTTCAGAGAAATCTTTTATTTTAATTATAAAAGTTTATAGATTTCATTATAAATATGTACTGTTATACAAGCATGCCAGCATATATTTCACCTACTTTCAGATATTCCATAGACACAGAGTATATTGCCACAATTTATCTTTCAACAACTCTCCACTAAAAAATACACCCATTCTGGGACAAAACTTGTTTCTCATTCCCAATTAGCACCATTGCATCGGTTTTTGTTTATTTTCTATGTGCAATCATGTTTAAACACATATTTATTTTCACATCAGTCTTAAATTATTCCTCACAGGACAATACTCAGAATTGAGATTACAGGGTCTCCAGCATCTATAAAACATGCCCAAATTAATTTGCAAGAATGATTATTTGTATGCATACGGATAAAGGCAGTTGCCCCCAATAAAGCAAAGTAAATGGAATGGTAGTGCACAATTTGTCCTTTTTCCACTCAGGCAAAGGTTGTGTCCTTGGCTATCTCTAGCCTCCAATAAATATACCTGCCAGGCTCAGGATACAAGTGAGTTTTCAATAAAGGAAGGAAGCCCATGAAAGTTACAGCATTTTCATTTTATTTGTTTTTAAGGTACAAATAATAATATGATTTAAGGAATTAAAAATCCAAATCTTAATTTTCATGTAAAGGTAGATAAAACTATTTCTAAGTCTCAAGAAGGCAATTTTTCATTTCGCTGAGTTACAATGAAGGAATAACAAATTCCTGTTAAATGTATTACCAACATTTGCAAGGACTCGTTTTAATTCTGGAGCCAATAATTCTTATGCAAGAGGACATGTTGCCCAAACATGCTTACCTTCTTTGTTTTATTACCTTTTGGGTTGCAGTCTTCTATACTACATCTCATATCACTTAAAGAGCTCCCTCACCTTGTTATAGAATGGGAAGTCCCACCGCATCAGTGGAATCTCACAAGCACTTCCTGGGCCCAAGCCACAGACATTTATATTAATACAACATCAAGATAATGAATGTCCCATCTGTTGCTGCAATCCTTATTCTTTAATATTTGATAGAACGTGACCCACAAAGTACCATTTTACTTAAAGTATTTTCATTAGTTAAAAAAAAAATTGAACATGTGAAATCAGTGCTACCATTATATTAAGCCATATTTCTTAAGCTTTGTTAAAGAATAAAAGCATTATTATGATGCCTGAAGCTGACTATCACATAAAGAACACTCCCATTGACAAGACAAAGATCCTACAGCCAATCTATTGTAATTTTTAAATTCCAAACACATTTCAATAAGGGGTACTTCTTGAAATATCAAAATTGAGGAAATAACAGTAGATTTTTAGTTTAAAATACAGTAAGCTATGGGAGTCCATTATTGGCAGGGGATATGTTACAAATTCCAAATTGTTCTATTTCAATTTCTACCACTTTTCTCAAAATGAACCTTTCTGAAACAAAATGAACTGATGCACTTCAGTAAAATGATTAATTGAAAATATTGTTTAACACTTAATTATGTATCACAAAACATTTTAATAGAATGGTTTCAGAGCAGCAGATACTCTAGAAGTTGTTCTCATATATTTTTTTCTTTCTTCATGCCAGTCTCTGGTTTCCCTCAAAATATTCCATACAAAGAATATAACACATGACAAAGTATTTGATGCTTGAATGTAGATTTTAAAAATACCAAGGATCTTGTTAAGGCAATTTAGCTTAGTTTTCCTTTAGCTTCTTTAAAAAGTGCATTCTTGTTTTTAAGAATGTATTTATGATGGCTTTTCTTACAAGCCATGTGGGGAAATGCTTGAAAAACAACATCTAAGAAACAGAGAGAGAGAAAAAGACGTGTTACTAAGTTGTTAAAGACCAAGGTATCAATGTATTGATAAATTAAAGCAAGTTATAGACAGTCTTGGAAATTTTAACCTCTCTTTGAATATACATACCGCAATAGCATGAGATGGATATCCAGAAGTTACTGTTTCAAGACTAAGCGAATTGAGGGCATATTTTACATATTGTTCAGGACTGGGTTTAAAGAAGCTTGTACGACGAAGTTTAGAGAGTTTTGTCACCACGAAATATGGTTGAACAGTCTGAAAAGGAAAGAACATGGTTTTCTCATTCGTAGAAATTGGTCACTTGGATTTTTAATATATCAAGAAATAAAAGTCATGCCAAATATTACATGCTATCAAACAGTTATAGATATTAATGATTCATCATTATGGGTGATTAACTTTGAAAATCTCCATTGATTGTCAAATATATATATTGTTTTTTAGAAAGATGACAAAGCAATTCAGAAAAGGCTGGAAGAGATGAAACAGTAATTGTTTTCAAATCAATTCTGGTACTGTAACGGTATGTGGCAATGACCTTGAGAGATGGGATGACGAAATGCTGCCTAAGGAACAGTCACATAAGAGAGAGTACAGCCCACAGCTTTATAGTGGGCAGAGCAAGAGGCTCAGAAGGGACTCTCCCTAAGTTCTTGGTCTGTAAAGGTGATGGCGGGAGAACTGTACTTTCAGATTTGCAAGATTCTGTTAATATAGCTTTACAATAAAGTAGAATTAGCTTATCTAGTCATGTTTCCTGTCCGGTCTACCTGGTAAGGCTGACAGGTACTTCAGATTCCAGTTCTTAAATCTGTGCAGGTTTAAGATGTAAAAGATCCCATTTTCCAATCAAGAAAACACAATAATTTAGGTAATTAAAGACTATTATCATTATAGATTTCTAGAAAAATCACTGAAATAGTTATAATAATGGAGACATTTTGATATTATTCATAGGATTGAACACACATTTTCAACATTAAATTTATTTTATTTTATTTATGTCTAGCAGTTTGGATCTGTATATTGCCTTAAAGACTTATTTAATATTTACAACAGATTAATACATGTGCTACAAACCAATTTAAGCATGCAAACTGCCATGGTGACAGCCTGTTATGGTAAGAACCACATGGTTAAATGTATAGGTAGTCCTTGCTTACCAAATGCCTCATTCAGCAACTGTCTGAAGTTACAATGGTGCTGAAAAAAAAACTTTACGATCATTGTCCACAGTTATGACCTTCGCAACATCCCTCAATCACATGATTGCCAATACAGTCAGTACCCACTGTCCTGTTCCTGTCAGTTTTTTTTTCTCCCCTTGCAGAGCAGAGAGATCGGAGAGGAAGGGATTACAAGGGAGTAAGCAGGCACAGAATGCGGAATACACATTGAAAGTAATGCGCTGGTGCTGGCAGCCATGAGTGTGCTACACAAACAGCCCAGGGAATTCCCCACTGTGTGCCTGCTTGGTCTCTTGTAATCCCTTCCACTCCAATGAATTTAAATACAAACATTAATTCCATTCTTGATAAATTATCCCAGCACTAGCTGGGTGAGCATTCCAAAGGGCAGGGAGTGGTTAGGAGGCAAACAAAAGTGGAAGGTGTGAAATTGATTAGTCTCGTCTGTTTTGAGCAGGCTATCCGAGTACTGGGGTGAGCATTCCAGAGGGCGGGGGAGTGAGGAAAAGAAAGCACAGTCGCAGTCATGTAATTTCTCATTTAGCAACTGCTTTGCTTAATGACAGAGTTGCCAGTCCCAATTGTGGTCACTAAATGAGGGCTACCTGTAGTTATTTATTTCTTTATATTTATTAAGAATTTTGATATAATAAAAGCTAAGTCTAAAGAAAAAAAGAAAGAACAGAAAAGAAAAGAAAAAGAAAAAGAAAACTAAGTTAAAAAATATATAAATGACTTCCAACTTTCTTTTCAACAGATAACATTCTTATTGTCCTTCCTCCCTCTTAAATATTTTACAAATCCCTTCACCCCCTCATTTAGTTTGCAACTTTCTTAATTTTCAAATCTATAAATCATCAATTCATTTTTTTCTTCTTTCAGCAAAAAGTCCATATGAGGTTTACAGTCTTTCCAAAAAGTTTTTGTTCGTTGTTTGTCCTCTGACCAAATAGGCCAATTTTGCCATTTCTGCAAATTCTGACATTTTCACAATCCATTCCTCCACTGTGTGAATTTCATTATTCTTCCATTGTTGTGTGAGGACTATTTGTAGTTTGATATGCGCACCAATATGCTGTCAAATGTTTAAAACTTGTTTTAAACTGTTTAAAACAGCTGTATTTCTACATAATTCTGTAGTCAAGAATTCTGGTTTATTAAACACAATGTTCACAACCTGCACACTTCTGCATATAGTCTGTTATACTTCCCATTAGTGTGAGCAGGTAAAACAATCAAATAAGTTTTAATAGAAACCTGAGATTATAGCTTATTATACTCAAACAATTTGGACTTCTAAGCTAACAAACTAGCTCACTGGCTTATTTGGACACAATAAGTCATTATGATTTAGAAGCAACATTAAATCATCTATGCCTCCTTTGTTCAACACAACTCAGTTTATTTGATATTAAGTGCACATAAAACTTATATATCATGGATTAACTAACTAGGATCATTGTATTAAGGTATACTGAAATGCAGCTTTAGTCTTCAATTGTATCATTCAGTTACCACACTGGGTGGCACCAAAGGATAAAATATTAAATACTATAATACTGCTACAAGTGGTATCATTATACAATTTTTCACTTAGAAACTGGTCTTCAGGATGCTACTTTAAACAAGATTCCATATCAGCAAATATTTCGGAATTACCCTTTTTCAATTAAATAAAAGAGTTTTAGAGTTTGATCTAAATCTAAATCTATTGATCTAAATCTAAATTAGATGCATTTTTTCAGATCTTCATGTTTTCCCAAGGTGAAGAAATCTATTGCTCTTTACTAATATTTATCTAGATAGTTTTTTTTATAGTTTTATATATAATCAAAGTTATCTCTTACAGCCACTCCTGTTTAGTGGCTACCTCATTTAGCAAATTACAATTTGCAATTGACCGTTTGCAAATACAATGGTAATTTTTAAAAAATCATTTTCCCTGCAATGCCGCATTTAGGACCAGATTTTGTGTGCCTGACAACAAAAGCCTTCAGTGTGAAATTGATTAAGGTCTGGTCAGTTTCAGTCAGCAGTGCAAGCTGGCTTGAGGGTTCTAATCAATTGATTAAGGTCACAGAGCTGAGTTTGTTAACTTGTGGTGAGTGGTAAGCACTTTTTAGTGAAGCACTGGGTTCAGAGAAAAGTAGCTCAAGAAGAGAGAGCTTGTCCAAGCAATCTCTCTGCCCTGCAAGGGGGAAAAAAATGGGTCAGGCACAGGACATTGTAAGCGAGAACTTTATCTGAATGAGATGCAGCAACCAGTGATCTTCATAGCATTTCTCTCTCTTTCTGTGTCACGTCTTTGCTTAGTGACCATTTTACTTAGTGACCATTTTGCTTCCGATTTAAGGAACAGATTGCGGTCATTAAATGAGGAGAGGGTGTACTTCAGTATAGTAAAGCTACAACACTCAAATCTGGCAAGGTTGTGATGGAGGACTAAGAATTTGAAGTTAGTAATGCCAAGGGTCATGACAAAAAACAGGTAAATGCACAAATAGTTTTCAACTAATTTTGTAGCATTTCTCTTGCTTGAGTTTCTGAAGTCACATCAGAACCAAAAAAATTACTACCTGTTTAAAATGCTGTTAAATAATTCAAGAACAGGTCATCACTGTATTATAAATGTTATTTTTGGATCCTTATTTTCTGCAGTATAGTGAACTGTGTGCTGCAGTATAAATAATGCAGTTCAGAACTGTGTTATAGATAATGTGACAGTCATGTCTGCAACTATACTGAACAGTGCCTTTTCACCACTTAGTATATAAACACCTTGTGAGTTTTGGAGAATAGTAAAGGTTGTCTATTTCATTAATTTGGTATACTGAACATTAGTTTTAAAAATGAATGGCAATAACTCTAGAATTAAACAACTGAATTCTCTCATAAAAGGGAGAGAATTTATTTGATTTGATTAGATTTATATAGCACCCATCTCACATATGTGACTCTGGGCAGCTTACAATAAAATAAAAACAAATAAAATGCATAATGTAAAATAAAAACACAGGACAGCTGAGCTTCATAAAATAACCATCAACAAAGTCAAGAGATGGGCTCCATCACATTTCTGGGCCCCAGGCCCAGGCATAAAACCAAGTTTTTAGCATCTTGCAAAAGGCCAGCAGGTTCAGGGGGAACCTAATCTCAGGTGGAATGATGTTCCACAGGGTGGACACCACAGCAAAAAAGGCACTCCTCCTGGGCCCCGCCAGCCAACAGTCCTTAGCAGATGGCACCCAGAGCATGCCCTTCCTGCTGGACCAGGTAGGACGGGTAGAAAAACTGGGGAGAGAAGAAACCATAAATAGCTTGGTCCCAAGCTATGAAGGACTTTAAAGGTAACTACCAGCATCCTTTAATGGGGCCCAGGAGGAGTGCCTTTTTTGCACCCAGAAGCACACTGGAAGGCAATGCAGCTCACAGAGCAGTGGTTTCACATGCACCAAAACCCCAACACCATTAGCTACCTGCTGAAGCTTCTGAATGCTCCTCAAGGGAAGCCTCATGTATACTGCATTGCAATAGTCCAATCTGGAGGTCACAAGGGCATGAGTGACCAAGAGCAGCCCCCCTGTCCACTCCAGGAATGGGTGCAACTGATGCACAACCTGCTCCAGGAGGACTCCCAGATTGTGTACTGGGTCTGTTTGGGGCAGTGCCACCCCATCCAGTCTTGCTTGGGTTGAGCTGAAGCCTGTTGCACCCCCTCCAAGAACTGAGACAGAACCTCCATAATATCACTCAGGTGGCCTGGGGTAGAGGTGTCAAGTCCCAAACCAAATGACCTCACCCAGCGGCTTTTTGTAGGGGAGGGCAGAAAGTATCAAGCCCTACAGCCCCCCACAAAGGAGGGCTGCGGTCTGGACTTCTTCCCCACTTCAACATCAACTGGGCCCTTCTATAAAAAGGAAGGATTGAAAACTGAACAGAAATTGTCCAAGATGGTGGGGTGTAGCAATGGCCTCTTAAGGAGGGGGCAAAACACCGCCTCCTTAGGAGATGGTAGGACCACTCCCTCTCTCAAAAAGGAATTAACTACCACAAGAACCCAACCACATGCCCTTTCCTGGGTGACTGTGTCCAGCCAGGAGGAGCATGGATCTAATACAGAGGTGGACAAGCTAACAGTCCTGAGGACCCTGTCCACTTCCTCAGGACGACAGGATCAAACTCTTCGCAGGTAAATGAGCCAGACCTGGCCCAGTAACCTCCATAGGACCCTCATCAAGACCTGAGTCCAACTTAGAGATGATCCAATTGACTTTATCCTCCAGATGCCTAGCATATTCTTCACATCAATCTATAGGTGAACCATAGAATCACTCCCACCAAGGAGTGACTGGGTTACCCAAAACAAGGCCATCAGCGGCTATTTGTAGATGTAATAAAGGCAGAGAAATGTGTTTCACTGCCCTTACTGCCACAAGGCAGGCCCTAATAGCAGCTCTAGCTTATGTTTGAGCAGGTTCATCCTTGTCACTCACCAGCAGCACTCTAGGTGTCTCTTCTCCTATTTCACCTCCATTAGCTCCTCTGTATACCAGGGGAGTTTCAGGATCCTGAAGCACAATCCAATCCAAAGCCCCAGCTGCCTTCTCATTCCAGGCGGCCATCAGTCAGGCCAAGCAGCAGACCATGGAACAACTCCAAGCTCCTTCTGAAACCCAGTTGGGTCCATTAGTCCCCTGGGGCAGACCAATCTAACAGGTCTAGCCTCCCTGTGGTAGGGGGTGGCACCAGAGAACTGTAGAGTTTCCAGAGAGTGGTCTGACCATGACAGGGAATAAATATATATTATTTATACTCTGTTTCTTAACCAACACTTTCAACATAGCTTGCATCCCAGCCACAGTGATCCTCTTCTGGATGTTTTTAAAAACATCTTCCTGCATGCAGTGGAAAATAATTTATTTAGAAGAGGTAAATAATTGCTCTAAAATGTTGTCAACTGGGGATGTGGCATGTCTTCAGAGCCTTTGCCTCCAATGCTGTTCTGACTCTTCTAAATTTTCACTACACTCTCTTTTGGAGTTTTCTGATGTTAGAAAATCCTGAAAATGGAAATAGTCTATTGTGGAGGCAGGTGAAGAAGAGGGGGCTAAATTTTAACCTCATTTTCCAAGATGCAATATCAGCTTTTAGCCAAAAAAGGAGGGACCAACTGACCCTACAACTCTCAGACAACTGCTCAAAGGACATTTGCAGCCACAAATAAAGTAGTAATAGAATTCCAAAATGGTCATACAACACTAGCAGTAAAAGCAAGTAAAACTCATCCAAATTAACTAAAAGCTCTCTGTTAGCCAGATGGGTAACAGAATAAAGTTTTAAAGATGGCATTTCATAACGTCAGCACTATAATGAAAATACTTTGATTCAAGGAACTGCCTACTAAAATTCTTTTGGCAATGGTACCTACAATTGCATTTCAGATGAGGCAGAATTTTGGACTGGATTTTAGTCTTAGGTTAATTACACAAAAAGAGTATCAAAATAGATCCATTTTACTAACCTGCACAAGGATACCTTTGTCTTTATATTCCACACCAAGAGCTTGAGAGAAGAAACTCTGAAAAGCCTAAATATATGTAAAGAAACATGATGTTATGAATGTACAATATGTAAGTACAAATAACTTATATACTGTAAATTTTGCATATCTTGCCAGAAATGATAACCGTTTAGTGTGGAAAATAGCATTCCAAACTAAGAACTTTGTGTATTGTAAGGAAATGATCCAATGTGAATAATACCAGTGTATCTATCTTGTATTACATGGTCAGCTAAATACATTCATAATCATCAGTAGATTGTTCATATTCCCTAAACAGAAGAGGGAGATATACTCCAGAAGAGTCATAAAGCTCAAGGTTGTATTTGTGCTACAATACTTTAGATTAGTATTGTAGCATGAATATAACGTGCAGATTAGATTAGATTACAATACTTTAGATTGAGGGATCACCTGTACAGTCACACAGGAGTTTTTGGGATGTGCAGCTTGCATTTGCCAAACACAGGCTCGAAGGCACAAAACGCTTCAGTTTGCATGTTCAGAAGCTTGTCTCCTGTTTTTCCCTCAGTTCTTATATCAGTGTAGCAGTCCTCAAAGCCTAGAGCAACTTACAGGGTAGGTACCAACAGAGAGCAAGCCTCCTAAATGGTAGTACCTACTTTAGGAAGAAAGAAAATCAAGTTTGAAAACACAGAGTATCTACATGAAGCAATATAAAGTGGATTGGCCCTGAGCACAGAGCTTTCCTGTTCAAGATTCTGATCACCGCAGCTAAGAAAACTACTTTACAAGTTAGAAGCTAAATGTTTGCAATGGCCAAGGGCTCAAATAGTTCATCACTTCATATCATACCACAAATGTATGAATGCTGTCTTGAGATTGTTTTGCAAAAGGTTACTTTGCCTCGGCAAACACAGAATCATGACTGCCTCAGTCATCAAGGAATGATAAAAATGAATTTCATAACCACAGGATCCAGGCAATGCAGTGCATTGGTTATGAGCAGTAATGATGGGGAGTATACAGCGCTGTTTTTCCCTATCTGTATGAGAGAATACATCCCTCAGTGTTCTGGGATTGAGACCTCATTTGCTGTAAAACTAAGGGCAATGAGTGTTGTATTTCTCAGCAAAAACAGCTAAGGCCATGGTCTCCTAAGTCAGAATAGTGCACCATCTCAGGATGGAGCTTCCATTGGTGTGTCGTTGTTGAGTAACTGAGTCAGTGATATTGCTCTTCAAGGCAAGCAAATGATAATGGACACGTCGGACTTAATGCACCTTTCCCATGTTCTGAGTAAAATACTCATCAGGCATTCTGATGTATGAGCATTCTCTTGATTACAGCATATGCTACTAAGCTTAAAAATACAGGCTCGAAGGCACAAAATGCTTTTTCTACTTCTAAGAATTCTAGACAGAACTTTGGTACAACCCTATGCCTTCCTTCCTTTTGAATCCAGCTTGCATCCTTTTTTATCCAATGATCTTGAATGTATTTTGCCTTTGGGTGAATTCTGGGATGCTTTCACAACTAATAAATTTGGTGTTGGATGCTTGAATGAGAGCTTACATAGTTCCTTTTTAGCTTTATTGAGAGACTGCAGATGCTTAGTTACAAAGCAACTAATTTTGTAAGTTAGCCCTTGTTTAGTGTACTATCTCATTTAGCAACCATTTGCAGTTACAACAGTGATGAAAAATTAAGTTTACAACCAATCCTCACATTTATGACCTTTGCAGGTCTGTAAAACAAAGGAAAGCTGAAGTACGTTCATAAGCACAGTCACAGTTTCACCTAGTGACCACTTTGTTTAATGACCAAGTTGCTGGTCCAAATTGTGGTTGCTAAACGAGGACTACCTGTAATAAAACTGTTTTTGCCATGTTTGCTTGGCAGACTTCAAAACTGCTGCTAAACCTGATACAACTAGAGGGGTATATGCTGTTGACTGAACAACCTGAAGTTTAGCAATTCTCAGTAATTGTCCTGTATAAGACTTATTCTCTGATGGGGATGCTCCAGAGTGATTGCCTATGCTTTGATTAGCTGAAGAAATAGATAGCTGGTTACAAGTTGAAGATTCCAAATCTGATCAATAACCTTCTACATCAAAACAGTATGCTCACAAGCTGAACTCATATGCCAGTCTCCATACTGATACAGGGATCTATTCTGGCAGAATTCTCACTTCTGTTTTAGGTTGTGAAATTCTCACCATGATATTCAACAGCATGGAAGTCACTGGTATGACAAAAGAAAGAGAGTATTGAGGAGATCTGCAGCAAGGTCTCCTATATTTCCAGAGTACCTCCGTCAGCAGTGTTAGACAGAAGTTCTGGATAATGTTGTGCCAGTTGGAGGGGGTGATGAAAGTTATGAATGAGTCATGTTTAAAATAACTTATATTTTATAAATGTTATAATGCATATAAAATGGGCACTGATCATAACTCCATGTCAATTTTAGAACTGTTCCTGATCTGCCAACCTATAATGGCCTAATGTAAGAAGGCAAAACTTTTCTGATTGCCTAAAATCTAAAGGCAATTTGATTGCTGTAGCAATGCAATCAGTACTGGTACAGGTAGTCCTTGCTTCCTTAGTGACCACAATTGGCACTGGCAACTCCATCGCTAAGCAACACCATCGCTGAGCAAGACATCACGTAACTGCACCGGACTTACTTTTCCCCATGGTCGTTAAGCAAAAGATCACATGATCGTGACTTGCAATTTCACTGCTGGCTTCTCCATTGACTGCTTGTCGGAAGCTGGCTGTGAAACGTGCAAATGGTGATCACATGACCGCGGGATGCTGCAACCGTCATAAGTGTGAAGACCAGTTGTAAAGTTAGTTTTTCAGCACTGTCGTAACTTCAAACAGTCACTAGACAGGGAAGTCATTAAGTGAGGATTACCTGTATTAACAGTTGGTTTGTTAATTGACCCATGGTAAGAGCTTATTTGGAATTGACAGAAATGGTTCTGAAGTTACTCACTATGGTATCTATTAACTCAGTAGCCCACAAGAGCACCTTAAGGTGAGAAGAACAATTTCTCCTTGTAGTGCAAACTACAATAAATAGTCTTTATGAGCACTTGGCAAAGAATGCACAAATCTACAAAATGTCCTTCTCCAAGTTGAACAAGCAGAATGACTATTCATCTGTGAGTGGCAACTTTATTGCCACATTTGAAGCATTTGCAGAATGGGGATCCAGTGATTAAAACCACTTGGGTGGGATAAGAAAGCTTCCTAACCAAGAATGTATCTTGTATCTAATTTCTTTTGAAATTATATAAATATGCAAATCAATGCCAAAAACAAAAACAGTAAGAGTATAAGAACAGATAAAATAAATTAAATTAATAGGATAGATCCTCAGGATCATTTTTCAACAAAGCAAGGAAAGGGTTCATAACAAAATAACTGTTATAGCAGTTGAAGAACTGAGGGGAAAGCAAGAGAAAAGCTTCTGAGCATACCACCAAAAATCACATCCATTACAGAAGGTTCCCAACAAGGGCTCTGTGCAGTCAAAGAAGTCATAT